ATTAACGTGCAAATTCCTGGGGAGAGGAGAGCTGTTGGCTTCCCTACCTGCAGTCAGTAAGAGTAGGCTTGTGGGGCAGGCTCTTTTGTGAGAAAAGCTTTTGATGAGAACCTCTGAGCCTCTTACTGGGGACTAGAAACTCAGCACTGGGACTCTGGAGGATGGTTATATGTCATTTATATCTGAGTTACACATCTGGCAGAAACTGCACATAGCTGCTTCTCACCACAGGTTCTCATGTGAATAAACTTTCAGCTGCCTTACAGTTTCCAGGAAAACTGTTAAATATGACTGTAAGTGGAAATATTTAGAGAAGACAGGAGAAACAAGGTGGAGGAATCATAACTAACACCTGGGCTTAACGTAAGGTCCAAATAAAGGAATTACTACCAGATGAATAATAGAAACCCTGAGCTTAGCAGATTCTAGATTTGGAGTAGGAGGTGACTGAGAAGTTATTTAGGGTTTGGATGACAGAAATCCTAGTGAAGGTGTCGGTCTTCCCATGGAATGAGTGATGCAGACGTTGGAGCTGATGTGAGCTCACCTGGAGGGAATATATGTAAATGGTACCTGGAGGCATCCGGCTGCTGGAGAGCTTATTCATTTTCCTCCATTGCCACTTGAATTTGGAACTTTTTTTTTTTTTTTGGTTTTTATGAGACAGGGTTTTTCTGTATTGTTTTGGAGGCTATCGGTCCAGCCCAGCCTCGAACTCACAGAGATCCACCTACCTCTGCCTCCTGAGTGCTGGGATTAAAGGCATGCGCCACCACCGCCCGGCGAATTTGGAACTTTTAAAAGTATCTTTCCAATTCTCCAAGTGGTGGTGTAATGCAGTGCTCATAGCCCTGTGTAGGGCACCAAACAGCTGAGGCGTGAATCCAGCCCTGCCGTACAGCTGCCCGACTGTCAGCACCCAGCCTCTCCATTCTCCCTTTCCTCACCTGAGGACTGGAGACACTAGAATCGCAAACCTTCTTTTTTGAGACAGGGTTTCTTTGGGTAACAACCCTCCCTGGCTGTCCTGGAACTCACTTTGTAGACCAGGCTGGCCTCCAACTCACAGAGCTCCAACTGCCTCTGCCTCCCAAGTGCTGGGATTAAAGAGGTGTGCCACCACTGCCCCGTGAATCTCCAACTTTTGTGGCCAATTCTAGCAAGTAGGTTTCTTTTCTTTTCTTTTTTTTCAAGACAGGGTTTCTCTGTATTGTTTTGGAGGCTTTCCTGGAACTTGCTCTGTAGACCAGGCTGGCCTCAAACTCACAGAGATCCGCCTGCCACTGCCTCCCGAGTGCTGGGATTAAAGGCGTGCACCACCAATGCCCGGCTGGGCAACTAGGTTTCTTAAGATGTTGGCAATAGAGGTTGGCAGATGGAGAACACTGTGTAGTTAGCTACTTCTATTATTTCTCTATTGAGGAAGGGCAGTGTTGCTAGACACAGATCCCAAGCATATGACTTTTTTTGTTTAATAGGCACAAAAATGGATTGCTCCTTTTTTGTAGTGAGAACCCTTAGGATCCTAGACCCATGGCAGGGTTCTGTGCCTTGATGCCAAGGGCCAGGTTCTGCCCTTTCCTTATTAGCTGGGGCAGCAGAGCGCCAGGCTGAGAACAACACTGATGGTTCTCTTGAGTTTAGGATTTTTTTCCATATGAAGCTTAAAGGCTACAGTCACAGGTGTGCCTGCTTCCTGCTGCCACTCTAAGCCCTCCTCATCCCCACCTCCTATTTTCCCCGAAACAGCGACTGAGCTCTGGCTTGGAACCGAATGTGGTATGTGGTTATAAGTGGTACTGAAGAGGACAGAACTCATCTCGAAGGTCTGAGTTCAAAAACCAGCTGAAGTCTCTAACGCCCTACTGTTTGAAGGTTCAGCACAGAGAAAACCAGTGGCTTCTCATTCCAGGATGGGCTGCACTCGGAGGACATGGGGTGTGTATGAGGTCAGACGAAGCATGGAGGACAGTATATTATTAGCTACCAGCTGGCCCCAGACAATGCAGCTCAGACTCTAGGCTCAGAACCATGCGGAGGCTGGCCCTAGATCCTCCCCATGTGAGCCATCTTAAACTTCCCTCAACACACAGAGCCTTTTCAAATCCCCGTATGTCATTCTGCCTGGAAGAGCTGGTGGTGGGTAAAGGTTTTAGGACTGCATCTCTGCTGTTGGGTCAGACCCTCACAGGTGAAGTACTCCTTGGCCATTTGATACTAATAATAAGAGTGATTTGAGACGAGACGATGAGGGGAAAACACAAAATGTGGTTTTTCTCCTTGCCTTCTCTCCTGCACAATAGAACGAACCCTGTTTACATTGGTACCCTAGGGGTTGGTTACTGTCATATCAAATCATTCTCCCACCCTCAGCATTAGTGGGCAGAACAAAGAAATAGCAGTAACTTCAGATCTATGAGGTGGCCTGATTATTTTAGTCAAAAACTTAAATGACTTTCTGTGCTCCAAGATGACAACAGATCTGATTCTCCCCAGAGAACTATTTTCATGGTTATACCAATAACAATTGGGAGTTTTGGACACTGCTTAGTAAACTTCTCAGGTAGTCAGCACCCCCCAACATGTTGTGACTGTGGCTAGGAGACTCAGCCTGCTGCTCTGTCAGTCACTGGGAACCAAAGCCAAAAATCTAGGTCCAGATAGGTAATTTTTTTCAGAGCCCTCATTAAACCTAGCCATTTGTTCATGAAAGTGTGTTTTAACTATATTACTGGCCTTTTAGTCCCCCACCCCAGTTCCCAGACATAATTAATTCTCTAATATATACAAGTTCCCATTCAACAATGATATTATCTAGATAACAGCAGGATTTGAGTTTTAGATAAATTCTGCATTTTTCCCTAGAAGAGACAAAACGTTTATTTTTATTGCACCCTTGCGGACTTCTACTATGGCGACATCTTTGCATCAGCTGGGTGCAGGTTCCCCTTGCACTCCCACCAGCTGTCTGGAGGAAGCACGATGGACTGGTTATGGTTTCAGCCAGACTACCTAAGTACTAGCTGGTGGCCTTGGGCAGGTTACTTCTCTTTGCCTCAGTGCCACATCTGTAGAATGAAGATAGCAATGACATCTACTCGATCAGGTTGGTGTAATACTGATAGGCGTATGTCAGACATTTAATTTAATCAGGTTGGTGTAACACTGATAGACGTATGTCAGACATTTAATTTAATCAGGTTGGTGTAACACTGATAGACGTATGTCAGACATTTAATTTGTTGCCTTGCGTATAGTAAGAACTATAGCAAGGTGGTGTCTTGTCCCATTCATGGTACCTATAAGCCCAACTCCCTGAGGGATGAGGCATTTATTATCCTGTTGTGGTAAGTCAAATCTGACTTTTGTTTTCTACTCCATGATTGACCTGACAGACAGAGTATATTTTGAAAGCAGAGGGGCCATGCCACCCGGGTACTGAAGGAGGGAGTACCTCTACTCCCCCAGCAGTGTCTGACTTATTTAGATGGATCTACCAAACATTGCAATGTGCCAGGCCCTGCTGTAGGCCCTGATTATATAGCAATCAACAAGATAACTCGGGTTTTTTTCTCTCTTGAGCTTGCATCATCAACACACCACAAGTACAGCATTCTATGAGAATTTTTCCTCAACTGAATCTCTTTCAGTACAACACATTCAGGTACAGTATAACCATAAGATACTGAGGTGACCTGTGACTCACGAGAGAGAGCATGGTAGTCGCCATAGTTCTGCTGATGTGCAGAGTGCGTCATATTTGAACACTATTTTGATAGAAAATAATCCACATCACAGTAAGCCATGGTTTAAGTTAAGTATTTAAGTTAAAAGACCTGTTCTGGACCACTCTGAGATCCCAAACCCTTATTTTATTTGTTTTTACTTTTTGTTGTTGTTTTGTTTTTAGATGGTATCCCATGTATCCCAGATGGGCCTTGAACTCACTATGTAGTTTGAACTTCTGATCCTCCTGTATACAAACGTGATGCGACGCCTGATGTATGGATTGAACCCAGGACTTTGTACATCTAGTCAAGCATCCACCCAACTGAGTTCCCGCTCTTCAAACCCTTTGAATAAGACAGCTTAGCTGTAGTGTTGGGTTTTGTTTAGTTTTTATATTTTTCAGTGTGTCTTTTTCTAAGTTTCTGGATTGTAAGATTCACTGGGTCTTGACAAAGTTCTCCCCCATCAAGGGACTTCCTGCTACCAGCTATATATTCAACTACAATTACTAATGGCTAACACATGATGCATGTCCACTGATGATGCTGCCCGACCATCTGTCAGTCCTAAGGAAGGAAGGAGAGGTTACAGTAAAGGGAGGAATGATCATGTTACTTGAGATCTGTCCAAGCCTTTCCTGGGCCCTGACCCTCAAATTAAAGTATTCAGAGAAACCTGGTCCTACACCCACCTCCTCAGATTCTCTCAACTTCTTTGAAATGGACCCAAGAGGGAAGAGTTCCATAGAGATCTTTCTAGTACTAATACTTCCAGGATTCTTGGACTGTAACCTGGTTCGAGAGTGTGGTTCCTGTTTTGGCCTGATGGAATCCATTTGCTAAGAAGAAGATAAACATAAAAAGAGTCAGGAATCTCATTATTTTGATGCAGGTTTACACACACACACACACACACACACATACTACGTACATACATGCATCATGTGTACCTATGCATCAATACACACATGGATGCATGCTGATGGCAGCATACCTGTCTGCCCTAGCCTGTGGTTCACACACACACACACACACACACACACACACACACACACACACACCCCATGTATGCACATGCACCATGTTTACCTGTGTGTTAGTACATGCATGACACGTGCAGTTGGCAGCGTAGCTGTCTTCCCTAGCCTCTGAACTCTCAAAGAAGAAATGAAAACACAGGACTCTTGCTAAGGGAAGACACAGAACCAAAACAGTGGCTTCCACTGGAGGAAAAGGAGGAAGGAAGAAAATGTGGGAAAGGAACACAAGTGGTAGGGAAAGAAATTTTATTTCCAAGCTTTTAAGAGAATATTACAAATAACAGAGAGTTTTTAAAAAACCCTAAAAACTAGTTTAAAAAAGTACTTGACAGTGTCCATTTAATACCCAAGGATGGCATGTCCATTGTGCAATGACAGTAAGAAACTGTGCAGGTGACCACCCAGTGCCTTCCCTGGCAGATCCTGGAACTCACAGGGGGGCTCCTAAGACGGTGTCCTGTGGCTGGCTCCGTGGTGTACTTGGCTGTACAAGAAGGGCCAAGGTGCACACTTCACTGAACACAAGGGAGGGCACTGGTGCCAAGCCGCCATGAATACTTAGATTGGGGTTCACTCCTTTGAGATACACAGGCCAGTATCACCCTACAATGCAGCAGACCCAGGTGGGAAGGTCTGGTGTGTGTGTGTGTGTGTGTGTGTGTGTGTGTGTGTGTGTGTGTGTGGACTGCATTATCCTTTTTGTGGGTGGGGCTTAATGTCGGGGAAAATTACCCCTGGCCTGACAGAAGGTTGAAGCCACAGCAGCAGACTGTGCTCGAGATACAAACAAGAAGTCCGTACTCCCCCTCTACACACACACACACAAATACATGCACACACGTATGTGTGCGAGTTCCCCTGTAAACATCTTTAAGCCAAATCGTCATAAAATCAAGAAGCGAACAAAAAGATACCCTAACCTTCAGCCATCTTTGAACTCATGTGACACTTGTAGTTACAGCTAGGAAAGTTCCGTATCTGCCCAGGCATATCAATAGCTCCCTTGCTGAACGGTCTGGGGGTGGGGGATCCGTAAAGCCATTTGAGTCATTGGAACTTTGCAGAGTGTAGAGCCCCCCTCCCCCAAGCCTGGTAGGGGTACCAGCTCCCAAGGTCCCACTCTCTCCCTGGGGCACCCAGCAGCACCCAGGGAGGAGCAAACCCAAGACTCAGAGAGAGGAGCTAATTACAAAAGCCCTTCCCTGGGCGGCCTTAGCTTTTTCTCTTTGCTGCCCTGACACCCACAGGTACAGCAGGTACCTCAAGCACCGGTCACATTTTCTGCCCAACTCTTTTTGGATGCCTTGCTGTTTGTCATTCTCCGGGGAGGAATGTTTTCTTAGGGCAGGTTCCGTTGGTCCCTGCCCATTGTTGTTGTGGAATTTGTGTTGGTTTTTCCCTTGCTGTGAATCCAACAGATAGGAAATCATAACAGCTCTCCCGCAGGCAGCCTCCCCATAGCTCCCCTCTGCTCCACGCTCCCTCGCGCCCCCACCCACCCACTGCTGGGTTTCCGTCTCCCATTCCTGCTTCCTGGGCCCCTCCTGGCCCTGCCTCTTTCCTTGGTGTGCGTGGTCTCAGCCTTCCTCCCAGGCCTCCTTTCACACGGTGGTGACTCTCATGACGAGTTCTCGGCTGCTGCCCTGCGTGCTCCGCTGTTCATGAGGTCTCAAGTGACTCAGGATATGCAGGATGGTATAAGCACAGTGGTGTTGGGACACAGGATCTGACGGGTGGCTGGCAGCCCTGGTGGGGCCCTCTTCACGGGCAGGGGGGCTGGCTGCCTCCTCTTCCGTGGAGGGGATATTGGCTTGGGTTGATGAGGAAGTCCGTAGGTTTGTCCTGCCTCCTGACTTTTGCTCCTCCAAGTCTTTTGTCTTGTCATAGTTCAGCACTTTCCACTGTTGATTGACAGCCTGCCAGCGTTTAAAGATGCGATATACTGAGGGTCCTTCGTGGATGATGAGGCCTGGCAGGAAGAGAAGAAAACAAAGGCTAAGCTAAGAAGGCAAGTAGCTGTGGGAGAACACCACCACTTCCTTGACTTACACATCACACACACACACACACACACACACACACACACACACACACACACACACACACAGAGGCACTAGAGAAGCTGGGGTTTCACTGTGTTGATTTTATTCCAAATCTGCTTTCCAGGTCTGAGCTGCTTTATTCCAGAGCACCTCAAGGTTCCCGGGCTCCATGAGTCACCAGAAGAAAGGCGGCCATGAAACAGTTGGGATCTGCATGAAATGCCTTCACCTGCTTCTGATGCTCCATCCTGCCTCCTTCTTGGCTTGACACAATTCAAATTATCCAATTAAGTCATAATGTAAATATTTTCCTCCTTATGTTACATATTCATGGCCCCTTGTGCTTAGCAGGTGTTGAATGAATCATGCACCTTTAAAAGCCAACATGAATGAAATCCTGTGGTCATTCCAATCCTGCGGAATGACATCTGCAACTCCACTTGTTAGCTCTTTCCATAGCCTATGCTACTGGAATACAGGTCCCTCTGGCAGAGTGAATGGTCTTGCAGTTATATTGGCCAAATGAAGTGGAACCAGTGGAAACAAGCTACATCTGTCAAGCCACACACAAGGCAACAGGGCAAATGGATATCAATTGGAGGCCTACTGTGTGCAAAGCATCTGGTACCCTTCGATTCCTGAGACAGGAAGTCTTGCCCTTAGAGAACTTAATTTAAGTGAGGAGGCACATACCAGACATGCAAATAAGCTAACCAGACCCTTTTCTTGTGCTGGCAACATGCTGGGAGGAAAATGAAATAGGGTTAAGTAGTCCTTGGCTGTTGTCAGTTGGGGTCTTGTTTTAGCAAAAGGGACGAGAAAGGCCATCGAATTGAGATTGACATGCCTAGGGGCTATGGAGAGAGGAGGACAAGGTGGGCAGAGCCCTAGTTATGATTGTGTCTTACATATTACCCAGTATAATGGGAATCCCCTGAGGAGATTTAGAAGGGGGAATGACACTGGCAGATTTGCTTTTAAGATAATTCACTGGTGTTCCAAAAGGGGCAAGAATAGGAATCTAAAATTAAGCAGGAAGTAACACCATAATTGAAGCTGGAAACTGATGACCTGTACTAGGGACATAATGGTGGATGGAGTGAGAAGTCCTTAGAGGCAGGATGAATGCTGTAGGTGGAGCAGATGGACTTGCCGACAAATGAGCTGACAGGCATCTGAACAACTTGAAGGCTCCGGCTGCCATAGTTGGGTGATGAGGGCACCATTTGCTGAGATGTAGATGGTCTCAGGGCTCGCATGTGGATCTGTGTTGTTGGTGGTGACCATTAGTTCACTGTGGCTGCCACATTCAATGTCTAGAAGGCAGTGGGTGGCTTGCAATGGCACAAATACATTCTCTTAGACAGTTCTGGAGTCATTCCCTCGGGGCTAAAGTGCAGATGGCCCGGGGCCTACTCTTCCTAAAGGTTTGGAGGAAGAATGTTTCCATACTTTTTCAACTTCTAGAAGTAGCCATTGTTTCTTCCTTTTACATCACTCTGTCCTCTTTCTTCTATTGTCACATCTATTAATCTTCTGTCATCAGATTCTTTTTTTGTTGTTGTTCCCTCTTATAAGAATTCTTGTGATTACATGGAGGATCTATCCAAATAATTCACAATAATTTCCTCATTTTAGGATGCTTAAATTACCCCCATACCCAAAAGTTCTGTCGCAAAAGTCTAACAATTTGAGGATGAGGCCCTGAGTGTCTCTGGGGCCATTGTTCATTAGTTATGGTATGGGTAAGATGTCTGCTAAAGTATCTAACTGGTAGGCCAAATGGCAATAGTGTATATGAAGCTGAAGTCTGGGCTGGAGATAGACGTTGTGTGTGTGTGTGTGTGTGTGTTATGGCTTCCTGCTTAGTGTTTTTATAGGACCCCTGAGTGTGTGAATGAGTAGGTCATTGATTCTTGTGATTTCTCTTGGACCCTTTTCCTTCTGTTTGTTTTGTCCAACTCTGATGTGATAGTTTTTATGTTATTATATTTTATTATTATCATTTAGAAGCCTGTTCTCTATTGAGAGACAAAAAGGGGGTGGATCCTGAATCCAGATGGGAGGAGAGCTGGGGAGGAACAGGGAAGAATAGACTAGAGGGAGGGAAAACCTTAATCAGGATACATTATGTGAGGGGAGAAAATCCACTTTCAATAAAAAGGAAAAAATAAAACACATGCACACACACACACACACACACACACACACATGCATGGGTGCGCACACACACTCACAGAGAGAGAGAGACAGAGAGACAGAGAGACAGAGAGAGAGACAGAGAACAAACCATATACATTTCCAAGATGCCTCCAGGAAGGTGGTGTACTGATGTGTGAAGATGCTGAGGTGAGGGTGGGAATGGTGGGAGGGAGTGTGTAAGTGACCTGCAGGTTGGTGAGGGCAGCGGAGAGCCAGCAGCCAGCAGCCAGCAGCACTGAGGGTGAATGACGGTGGTAAAGAAAGCAGTATGCACTTCAAAGTGCTGGAGCTTCTGAAGAATGGGGGAGCAAAGACAGCATGGGTGTAGTGGCAGGCAGCACAATGCCTGTGGACACTACTTCTTGGATCCACAGCCTGTGAAAGAGAAGCCACCATACAGATAGCTACGAGGGATGCCATTTCTGGAATGCAGCTGCTTTGATGGAAGAAGCCCACAGAGGAGTTACTCATGTTGACCTGTTGTCCAGAGGTCACCATGGAGAGGCTGGGGGAAGGAATAATCAAAACAAGAAAAGGATGATTGTCTGTGAAATGAAGAGGTAGGAAGCCTGAACCTGTAATGGTGGAGGCGATAACTGGCTAGGAGACACAGGGCCGAATTTGTCCTGAAGCCATGGAAACCCCAGGGCATGAGCTAGCTCACAGGGGCAACATGGACTAGTCACCCCCCTCACTCACTACAGCACAAGTCCTGGAGGGGAACACCTCACAGCTTTTCTGCTTCAATGCAGACCCTGGGGGAAAAGAACAGCCACCCCCTGCCACTTCTTCCAGCACCCAACACTCCCAAAATTGCCTGTTTCTCTGTGCATCTTCAAGAGTTCACTATGAGACACACTGGTTCCTAGCCCTGGGCAAACATAATCTCTTTAGGGGGAAACGCAGACAGTAGTTTTCAAGGGAGCATAATTTCCTGAAGACTCCCCTGTAATCCCTGACCCAGTGTGATAGGTGCTGGACAACGAGGCTTCCCTCTGTCCCGAAGGGCACCATTACTTTTGTCTACGCTTAAGTGTGCACCTGTGCACCGTTGGTACTGAAGCCCTTTGCTCATCTGTCTGTCCTGCATGCCCTGTCTGCATGCTGCCTTGTGCCTTCCTCCAGGCTACAGGCTCGGGCCGAGTCTCCATAATGACACACCAGGAACATCACAGAGACTCACTAAAAAGCAGAGTGGGCCTGGGGACAGAAAATCAGGGCCTTTTGAGGCCCCAGACAAGATTTCTGGCTGGAATCTCTACACTCCCTTTTTAATTAGCTTCTCGATCAGACAATTTTACTCTGATTGAAGAGGGTGTCTTAAATTTTTTTCGTTTGAATGCTGCCTTTTAATTGCCTGTCTAGTGTTCAGGCAGTAATTAAACCATTCTAATGGATAGGCGGCTGAGCAGGGAGGAGTGCACCTGTTTTTCTAGATAACACTTATTTTGAAAAAGTTGGAAAAACATAAGCTACCTCATTTCCATTCACCCCTTCAGCTCCCCTGCCTCCTGCCTCACCAAAATACTTATTGATTCCCTGCATGGAGGAATTAAAACAAAGAAAACCAACCAAAAACCAAAAAAAAAAAAAACCTAAAAAAACCCCCAAAAAACCAAGGAAGATGAGTTTGGGCTCATCTGCTGGGGCGGATGACAAGGACGGTCAGCAAGGTGGCAGAGAAGGATGAGGGGAGGAAACGGCAGTGAGCTGAGAAAGAATTCAGGTGAGCTAAGAGCTATTGCTAAAGAGTTTTGAGATGCAGGAGAAGGAAGAGGCGGGATGTAGCTCTACTGGTGGAATGCTTGCCAGGTATTTACCAGGCCCTGGCTTTAATCCCCAGTACTGCATAAATCACCATGATGGTGCAAGCCTATAATCCCAGCATGTGACAGGTAAAGGCAGAAGGTCATCGCCTCCAGAAAGCGTTTGAAACCAGCATGGGCTTCATGAGACCCTGACTCAAAAAAAAAAAAAAAAAACCAAGAAAAAATAGAAAGGAGAAAGAGGGAGGGAGAGAAGCAAGAAATGTAGTAAATTTTAACTGAGTCCTTTCCTGGGATTTTCTATGCAATTTAACAGCTACTGAGTAATTACTTGCAATGAACCCAAATCTTGGCTGTATTTTTGGTAAATCCTGTTTCAGAAGAATAGTTATTTCATCTGTCTAAGGTGTCTCCAGCTTCTGGGTTCTTCTTTCTCACTGGGTTATAGGTTCTATAGGTCGTTAAGACACGCCTTTTGTCGTCTCTCTCCCATATCCTTATCTCCAGTCAAAACGGCCTTTTGCTTAGACTATGAGGAATGGAAAGAAGGCTGGTCACCACCGAGTGGGTAGCCCTCTAGCACGGCTCCTCCGCACGTGCAACAACAAGGAGTTCTCTAAAAAGCATACTAGCCTTGGTGCATTTTGACCATTGGACTTTTGATGTGAGCAGAGACACCACTTAACCCAGTGTTGTCTTTTCTGAGTGTCCACTCTGTATGTCTCTGAGTCCCTGCCACGGGGTAGGGTGGACACACAACACCGCTTCCCACCATGAGTACAATAACACGTCTGTTGGTGTTAGTTTTCAATTATTTTAGAGTTGGGATTGGAAGGAGGTGTTCAGACTTGGGCATCTCTTTCAGATAAGCTTAGGTTTAGATAGGACAGATGCGCTTAGGATAGGGTATGGGTAGATCATAATTTGTTTATCATCTATGTGAATATGCTTTATATATG